TATTCCTCTATTTCTATTCTCTATTCCTCTATTTCTATTCTCTATTCTATTCCTCTGTTTTCTATTCTATTCTCTGTTCTATTTTCTATATTTTCTATTCTAATTCTATTATATTCTGTTTTCAATTCATTGTCTGGCTAAGCAATGCAAAATACAGTTGTAAATCAAGGAATACAGGTAGTCCTTGATTTACAACCATAAATTGTGACCTAAACTTCCATTGCTAAGTGAGGTGGTTTTGAGGCAATTTTTATTTAATTATTTATAAAGTTGATTTGCCACCCATCTTGACACAAAGGTGAATCACATGGTTGGTAAGTGAATCTGGCTTCCCCCGTTGACTTTTGCCAGAAACTGGCTAGGAAAGTCACAAATGATGATCACCAGACCTGCAACCATCATAAAGACACAAACAGCCCAGATGTCTGTCTGGAGGAGGCTGTGACGGTCTTAAGTGCAAATCCTTTTTTTTTTTTTCAGGGCCGATGTACCTTTGGGCAATCCCTAAACCAACCTGTTGTAAATCAAGGACTACCTGGATTGTCCCACGGAAGTTTTAAAGATCCTAAAATTGCAATTCCAAGGCAATTCAACGTTTGACCACTGAATTATCCTGTATTTGGGGTTTATGCAATCCGGGGAACTGGAAGTTGGGCTAGGAGAATTTGCAGAACCAAAAAACAAACACATTTTGCTTGATTTCCCAACAAATATATTTACTGCATGGATCGGGGAGGGGGGGGGATGTTTGTCCTGCAGCAGCCGAGACCCCCTCCGCCTTGGCTTTCCACATCTGGCGCTTGCTCCTTGGCAAAGGGCTCCACTTCCTGTTGGGCATGATGGGTTTTGCAAATGTCAGCACACCAGCTGAATTACACCTGCAATTCAGAGCCCCTCTTAAAATGCAGGAAGTCTTCTGCTCCCATCAATTTTGTTGTGGAGAGCCGGGAATGCACCCCCAAAAGACACAAGATGTCCCCGGAGAAGGACCCTTGCAAAGGATGGAAGGGGATCTTCCTAAACCCTCCGCTTTCTCCGTTTTAAACCTCCTTTTCCTGCGGGTTGCACCAACAGAATATAAAGTCACTTAATTTTGGGAAGGAGGACGGGCGTCCAAAACGGTAGCGACGAGGGTGGGATTCGAACCCACGCGTGCAGAGCACAATGGATTAGCAGTCCATCGCCTTAACCACTCGGCCACCTCGTCTCACGGAAGAGAGCTTGTTCACCACCTGGTCTATGCTTGCTTGCTTTGCAAATCGGGATTAAGAAACGCCTTTTTGCAAAGAAAAACAATCGAAGGTGGGGGGGAATGTTCCTGTTTTCGCGCCCCTTATTCCTACCAGCACCCCCCTTCTGATCCTTGCAATCCTCCCGTTGCAAACTCTCTCTGGCCTCCCCTCCCCAATGCAAATAACCCTGGAGGTGGGGGGGAGGTCGGCAAAGCCCACCCACTCCCTCCCGCGCATGCAAAAGGCAAAGCGGGCGGGTAATCGGGCCCAAGGCAGCGGCGAGCCGGCGGGCGCTGCAAAAGCAAACGGGGGCGAGGGGGGTTCGGTTTTTTTAGGGGTGGGGGCTGCAGAGGCTGCTTTTTATGTTTGCACTGCCTCCTCCTGCTGAGCAGGGGGCGCTGGAGGGAGCCTCCTGGCGAGCAAGCCCCCCCCTTCCCTTTCGCCTCTCCCCCCCCCTCCGCTTTCTATTTGCAGGTTGGCACTTTGGGCAGCTTTTGCAACGTTTTGCTCGCGCGGCGTTTTGCAACAGAGGGAAAGGGCGCCACGGGGAGAGCCGACGGGCCAAGCTTGAGCCCCGGTCCGGCTCCCCCTTTCGGCCCCGCCCATGACCTGCTCCTGCTTCCAGGCGCTCATCCTGGCGCTGGGACTGGTGGCCAGCTTGCAACTGCTTTATTTGGCTCTGCTCTCCGGGTGGCACGGGCAGGAGCAGCGGTCTCGCTATGCCCAGCTTTTCCAGGCACGCCATGCCTTGCCAAGCCACGGGCACAAGCAGAGGCTCAAGCCGGTGTTGGCCAGCGGAGGCACCCTGGATGCCAGCGGGTGGTACCGCATCTACCGGGACATGATGCGGGCCTCTTGGGGTGGCCAGGATGTGGTCCTGGTCACCCACACCAGCTTGGGCAACCTGCACCATGTGCAGCAGCTGGTGGAGCGCTGGCAGGGACCGGTCTCGGTGGCCCTCTTTGCACCGGGCTCTGACGATGTGAGCCAGGCCACGGCCATGGTCTACGCCTTAGCTGTCCTGTGTGCCCCTCTCCGGCAGTGGCTTCGCCTGCACCTGGTGTGTCCTGCCAACGAAATGGCTTCCTTCCCGGAGCAGGAGCAGGAGGAAGGGGAATTTGCCCGCCTCCAGTCCTGCGGAGATGTCTTTGCCAAGCTGGCACAGCTAGGGGCCAGCCGGCGTAACTATGTCATGGGGGTCACCAACACTTCGTACCCCAACAACCTGCTGCGGAATGTAGCCAGAGAGGCAGCCAGCGGGCACTGGGCGCTGGTGGTCGACGTGGATATGGTGCCCAGCAAGGGTCTGCGAGAAGACTTCCTGGCCTTGCCTAAAGCCGCCGAAGAGGGGACGCCACGGGTGTTCGTGGTGCCGGCCTTTGAGATCCGTCACACGCGCCGGATTCCGGCCACCAAAGCAGAGCTGGTCCAGCTGTATCAAGTGGGGGAGATCCGACCATTTTACGAGGAGTTATGCCCCCGGTGCCAGGCTCCCACAAACTTTTCCCACTGGCTGAACCTTCCCACACGGGGCACCCTGCGCGTGGCCTACGAGGTGGTGTGGCGAGACCCTTGGGAGCCCTTCTATGTGGGTGCTGCCTCAGTGCCTCCATATGATGAACGCTTCAAGCAGTACGGCTTTAACCGGATCAGTCAGGTAACCAAGCAAGGGGAAAGATCAGGAAAACGGCAAAATCCTATGGTTATTGTTACTGGTTTGGTGTTTAAGGCCTATCCTCTATCTATCTCTGTCTGTCTGTCTGTCTATCATCTATATCCATCCCTCCCCCCCATATAAATAAATAAATAAAGCTATGATCTGTCTATCAACTATATCCTCCATCTATCCATCCATCTGTCGCTCTCTCTCATCTATCATCATCCATCCATCTCCATCCATCTCCCCTCTCTCTATCATTATCCATCTATCCATCTCTCTTTATCATTTATCTATCATCTATCATTATCCATCCATCTATCCATCTCATATCTATCATTATTCATCCATCCATCCATCTCTCTCTCTCTCTCTCTCTCTCTCTTATCTATCTATCTATCTATCTATCTATCTATCTATCTATCTATCTATCTATCTATCTATCTATCTATCTATCTATTAATCTAATCTAATCAGATCTAATCTATCATCTACCACTATCAGTCACCTATCTATATCTGTTTTTATGCCGCCTATCTCCCTTACAAGGTGACTCTAGTGATACTGGTGACACACAAGTTCTTTTTTTCTTCTTTTTTCCTTGCAGGCCTGCGAACTCCACATTGCTGGCTACCGGTTTGCAATATTGAGCAATGCCTTTTTGGTTCACAAGGGCTTCAAGGTGGCAAGTGAGTTCCACGCACAAAAGGATGCTGAAAACCAGCACAACAAGATCCTTTTCCGACAATTCAAGCAGGAGCTGAAGAGCAAATACCCAGACTCGCCACGGAGATGTTGAAATGCACTTTAACTTTGCAGAGCTTAAATTCAGCTCCTTTGGATTTGGAGTGGAGCTACAAATAGAATGAGAAGAAACTCTATTTGCAGTATAATTGTACGAACAACTGTGGGCTATTTTTTTTTGTTTACCAAAGACAGTTTGTGTCATTGCTGCACTGCCATTAGTCGGTTTCTGTCATTTTGTACTACAGGCTGACAGAATAAGATCCAAGATTATGAAATGATGCTGTGAGAACATGGAAAAGAACTTTTGAACGTTTGGACTGTGAGACGTGAAATAGTAGACCATTGTGCAGCAAGATTCTTCCGTATTGTGCCTGACCTTGCGTCTACAACTGGTCACCTCAGTGTCTTGTTCTGCACAATGAGAAAGGATTGCATAGGTCCTGGAAGAGAAATGCTTAATTTATTCCTGTATCTTAAAATAACAAACCACCTGTTAATTAAAGTGAATAATTTCAAATTTGGGTTGCTTTGGTCCTGTTCGTTTGCTACCAATCCATATTTAGAAATGTTCCAGTGAATGATTTTGGAACTGTGTTATGTCCTTTTTTTGTGTGATCAGTTTGTGCATTGTTATGGTTGTTGCACAGTCAGCCAGATGTTTAGATTGGATTTCACATTTTTTGTCCACTTATCAAGTCCTTCCCAAAGACACAAGATAAGCAAATGTGGATGTGCGAGGGTGTTAAAGGTATTATCAAAGGATGTAAGCTTTTCCAAGTAAGGCTGCGTTTTGCAATTGATTGATGGGGATTTTGTCAGTGCTGATGTTCAGATGGTACTCCAAATATTTTGAGATACTGGTCCAATCTTTGTTTTCTTTTGCCACAGTCATTCTACTTCTATTTGCAGGTCTTTGTTTATTGAATATCTTCAGTTCTTTTCTGCTTTCTCCAGATACTGCAGTGTTCATCCAGACTTTTTTTAATGTTTCTTATCAATTCATTGCATAGTCAGCCAGCTATTTAGACTGGATTTGGCATTTTTATCTATCTATTCAGTCTTTCCCAAAGACTGGAATAGGCAGATATTGTTGTTTAATAATATTAAAGAATGTAAGCTGTTCTGAGTAAAGCTGCCTTTTGCAATTGAGTGATCATGAATTTGTCAATGCCGACAGTGTTCAAATGATGCTCGTTGTTTTGAGATTGCACCAAGTCACCTATTACTTATGATAGTATCTTTTCTTTCTTTTGCCAGTTAAGGTTACTTTTATTATTAGACTTCTTTCTCCAGCCACCTCATGCATAGCATCAAGGTTTATTCACCTATTGTTTGGGGATAAAAAAAGGGATAGCCTCTGTAGCCATTACAATACTGCATTGATATTTGAGAGTTCACCCTTTTCCAAAAAGGCTCATATATTAAAGTTTGGGAAGAGGGAAGACACTTTTTCTGTTTAGTTTTTCATTTTTCCTATTTATTTTTCCTCCTCCTGCTCTCCGGGTTATATTCTCTCGGTTGCTATGGGAACGCTTCTTTCCGCTTCCGGCTTCCCACAATGCGATGCACCCCCCCCCCCCCCCCAAAAACCACAGAGAGGTGGCTGGAACGTTCTAGGATCATAGACATGTAGCTGCTTCCAACGGCCGGCATTATCAGTCGCTCGGATTGGTTAAGAGCAGTGGGCGGGACCGACCGAGGACCACTTCCGATTGAGGAAGGAAGCCCGAGTGGCATCTACGCTTTGCGCGGCTCCTCCCCCAGGTAATGAAGGGGGTCCAGACGCTTTTCCCAGCACCCCCCTTTTTCTGGGTGTTTGTTGGTCCCGCCCATTCCAATCACGCATTTGGGTGAGCGGCGGGGCGACTGTGGATTAGACCACTAACCGGGTTGGGGGGGGAAACACATTTGCGTGTCTGTGCTTTTCTATGAACGTACATGCGCGTGTACGTAGGATTGGCTTCTGCTCGTTGCGTTCCCCGTTGAAGGCGTATCGTAGTGAGAGGAAGTTCCTCAACGTATTTCTGACTTTTCCTTTTTTTTTCTTCTCCCCCCCCCCTCAAGGAATTGGTAATCCCTTCCCCCATCATATTAATAGGGGAAGGTGGTTTAGTCCATTGCATTATGGAGGGGGGAGGATGGAGGATGCAATAGTGATGTTTTATTCATAAACATTTATAGTATCTTGTGTTTTCTATCTGGTTTTCTTAGCAGTTCCCAACAATGGTAAATTCCATTTTTAAAAAGTGGTCAAGGAGGACAGTTGAAAAGCATCGGGGTAGCTTAAAACCTGCAGCAGTAAGCCAGCTATTTTAAAATACCATTTGGCCAATATTATTTCCCACAATGTTCTCCTACAAATGAATATTTTTTTATTTTTTCTTAGGGAACAAGTGATGGTCAGTGAGGCCTGAAGACTCATGAACAAGCCAGAAAGCCTGGGATGGTCTGAGTCTTTCCAAATAGGTGGGAATACAATTCCCATCAGCAAGGTTGGGCATGATGGGAGTTGTAGCTCATGCATGTATAGGATACCACACTGGGGACATGTAAGCTTTATAAAGGCCCTTTTCTTAGCCCCAAATGACCGTCCTTATTGGGAGCCCAAAAAAATTCTCAGTTGTGTAATGACTACAACCTTGACGTAACAACCATTCGTTTAAGTGACTGTTTGAAATTACAATGGAAAAAGCAAATTGTGAGTGTTTTTCACACTTAACGGCCGTTGCAACATGATCACGTGATCAAAATTGGCAACTGATACCTATTTATGATGGTCATAGTGTCCTGGGGTCACATAAGCCCCTTTTGCGATCTTTCAACAAGCAAAGCCAATGGGGAAGCCAGATTCACTTAACTGTGTTACTAATTGAACGGCTCTAGTGATTTGCTGAACAACTGTGGCAAGAAAAGTTGTAAAATGGGCAAAAGCTACTTCACGACTGTCTGGCTTAGCGATGAAGACTTGGGACTCCATTATGGGCTGCCTATGCATTCATTCAACTGGCTGCTGAACTCCCTTCCCCTCGCCAGGTTACCCACTGGATAATCTGGTGTTTAATGGAAGTAGAGAAAAATCAGATACTGAATAGTAAAAGAAAGTACAGTCTTTTCGCCAGGGCACAACTAAAAGAGTGCAAAAACGCCACACTCTGCTTTTGAAAGAATTGTGTGACATTCTCAGAAGCGAAAGTGGAAAGCAGAGCCTTGTTCAACCAAACTCTTTTGCACAGAAAACTCTTTTTGCACACCCGTTTATTTCGGTGCGATGTGCATTGCTTTAGCCCGCTGGGTCAGAATTGAATTGAGTGCTCCAAAAATAAAACTTCTGCTGCTGAGAGATTAAAATATATACAAGCAGCCCCTTGACTTACCACCACAATTGAGCCCAAAATTTATGTCGCTAAGTGAGATATTTAAGTGAATTTTGCCTCACTTTAAGACCTTCTTTGACCTGGTTATTAAATGAATCAGAAATTACAGATAGGCCTCGATTTACAACAGTTCATTTAGTGACTGAACTCACAACAGCACTGAAAACTGACCGTTTTTCACACTTATGACTGTTTGTAGCATCCCCAGGGATGCTTAATTTACATTCGGATGCTTGACAACCGACTCACATTTATGACAGTTGCAGTGTTCCCCGGGGGTCATGCAATCCGCTTTTGCGACCTTTTGACAAGCTAAGTCAGCGGGGAAAGCCAGATTCACTGAACAACGGTGTTCCTAATTGAACATCTGCCGTGGTTCGCTTAACAAATGTGACAAAGAAAGTTGGCAAAATGGGGCAAACTCAACGTGAGAAGTTTCTCTTTTAACGACATCAATTCTGGGGCTCAATTGTAGGTTGAGGATTTTACCTGTATTCCAAAATTAGCATCCAGGCTTTGTTCGCTCTTTAACAGTTGGATCTTTTTCTGTCCATCTTCAGGTTGGTCGTCTCTTGACATCGTCCAACGCCACCATGCCTGTTCAGCCTCTGCCGAAGGAGATGGAAGGGGAAGGCGATTCAGCCATGGAAATGAACGGTGAGGAAGAGAGCGAAGATGAACGCAGCGCAAGCCAGTCGGAATCCGAAGAGGAGAGCTCGGGTAAGCATCAGGAGGGGAAGCTGAGTTTGTGCTACTAAAATGCAGCCCGGAATCTTAAAGGGAAACTTAACGGTTGGATTAACTCTACCACAGGGGTCTCCAACCTTGTCGGCTTTAAGATCTGTGGACTTCAACTCCCAGAATGCCCCAGCCAGCCATGCAGAATGATACAGAACTAAAAACCAACTAATCCAAGCCAATGTATAATGCAGTGTTTCTCAACCTCATGCTGGCTGGAGAATTCTGGGAGTTGAAGTCGCCCATCTTAAAACACACTGGCTGGGGAATTCTGGGAGTTGAAGTCACCCATCTTAAGACACATTGGCTAGGGAATTCTGGGAGTTGAAGTCACCCATCTTAAGACACACTGGCTGGGGAATTCTGGGAGTTGAAGTCATCCATCTTAAGACACATTGGCTAGGGAATTCTGGGAGTTGAAGTCACCCATCTTAAAGCATCCTGGTTGGGGAATTTTGGGAGTTGAAGAATAGAATGGAATGGAATGGAATGGAATGGAATGGAATGGAATGGAATAGAATAGAATAGAATAGAATAGAATAGAATAGAATAGAATAGAATAGAATAGAATAGAATTCTTTATTGGCCAAGTGTGATTGGACACACAAGGAATTTGTCTTGGTGCAAATACTCTCAGTGTACATAAAAGATACATTCACCCAGAGTCAAGAATCATAAGGAACAACACTTAATGATAGTCGTAGGGTACCATAAGCAATCAAATCATACTAGGAAACAGTCAATAAAAATCGTAAGGATTCAAGCGACAAAGTTACAGTCACAAGTGGGAGGGGATGGGTGATAACGAGTGATGAGAAGATTAAATTGAGGGCTTCTTTGGCACTGGGATGATATTAGAACATTTGAAGCAAGAAGGAACATAGCGCATTTCTAGTGATTTATTGAAGATTTGGGTGAAGATAGGGGCCAATTGGTCAGCACAGACTTTTAAACAAGAAGTCCACCCATCTTAAAATACACTGGCTGGGGAATTCTGGGAGTTGAAGTCACCCATCTTAAAGCCTGCTGGCTGGGGGATTCTGGGAGTTGAAATCCACAGGCCTTAAAAGTTGCCAAGGATGATATTCTACAGGCTGAGTTTAGTTCATTTTACATGCCATATGCTGTTGTGCATGTCATGGTAGAGTTAATTCTGTGCCTCGTAGTTACTTCATTCTGCCTGCTGTGGGTTAATCCTGAAGATCATGGTTTGGTTAATTCTGCAAATCCTAACTTTTTGTTCATTCCCCATTCCGTGCTTCGGTTAATTCTGCACTTTATAACGTATTTAATTTTGCTTGTCATCAAGTAACACAAAACAGTTGAACAAAAGGAGAATATTTATAGCTCAGGATTGCACCGTGGGGTCCTTGGTGCTCTCGGAGCCTGCTTGTTTTCTCGCAGACGTTTCATTACCCAACTAGGTAACATCATCAGTGCTAGTGAGACTCATTAGCACTGATGATGTTACCTAGTTGGGTAATGAAACGTCTGCGAGAAAACAAGCAAGCTCAAGAGAGCACCGAGAACCCCCCCCCCCTACACACACAAAACAGACGGTCTAAAATTCAAAAGCTCTGATAAATAAATTCCATTTTATCCAGGGATCTGATGGGTTGGTTTTTTTTGAGTCGAGTCCAAATTGTCCATTTTTCTTCCTCTCCCCAGAGATGAACGATGAAGATTACGAACGGCGCCGGGCAGAATGCGTGGATGAAATGCTGGATCTGGAGAAGCAGTTTACTGAAATCAAAGAAAAGTAGGTTGTTTTCTTCTTCTGTTTTCCTTTTGCGTCTGTTTTTTGGGGGGACTTTGGGATTTTTGTTTTCCTGGTGAATCGGCTGGGTGGTGTTTTTTTTTTTCTTTTTTCTGCAGGCTGTTTAAGGAACGTCTGAATCAGATGAAGGCAAAATTGGAAGACGTGATGTCGGGAAAAGCCCCGGAATACCTCGACCCCCTGGCCGTTTTGCAGAATCACATGGAGATCCAGATCGAAGTGGCTGGTAAAGCTTTGTGGGGTCCCAAGCCGTATGGGGCGAGAGGAGGAGAGCGGGGGTGGCATTTGAGGCAGGGGGTTGACCTTTGAACTCTCAGGATGGGGAGCATTTTGAACGAACTGAACACAACCACCGAAGTTTCTTGACACTTCCGTGTTTGCCCTTGGCTTTAAAAGGATGTGTTTCCCCCACCCAAGTTTTCTAATCCTCAAGCCTGAGATTTCCTAGTGGTCTTCTTTCCTAATGCACTATTTTTTTTTTAGCCCATCCAAGTTCTGCTAGGCGTTACCTGTTCTGACCTAGGCTTCCCAAGATCAGGAAGTAGATACCTCATCCCGATAAAACCCCATTTATTTCGGTTAAAGTGAATCCCTCTCCAGCAAAGTCCCAGCCAACAGTCTTTCATCAGCTTTCACAATTACAGACCTTTATCAGGCTGGGAGAGTTGCCAGGCCGATATCTTCCAAACACTACACTGTAGCAGCAATTACTTGGCAAGGAGTCAGGAACAGATCTTCACCCTAATGAATTGAACTAATCGTCTCCTGCAAACCCCACTCCTCTTTGTTCCCTATGGGAGAGGCCATTCACCATCCACCTATGCCTTTACTCCCGAGTTGACCCTTGTTCATTAGCTGTTCCCTTCTCCTGGCAGCTCTGTGCATGCGCACACTGGGAACAGGCTCCAGCTGTTCTTCTGCCTTACTGATGTCCGACTCCGAAGGTAGCTGATAACTGTCGGACGGCCCTGGCCCCATCTCTGCCTCCAACGCAAAGCCCTTGTCAGAACCTTCCCCCAGACTCCAGGACCGGCCCATGTTCCTCCCCAACCTCCTCAACTGCCCGAGTCTGCTGCCAGCTCCGCTGGCCGTTGGCGGGCCACAACATTGCCACCTAGCTGGGCAAATCATTAAAGACCTCGTTGAAGTGATTGGATGACCCCTCTGCTGTGGATTTTTGGCCTAATTTCCTAGTTCAGCTGTGGGATCTTTGGGTGGTCTCCCATCCAAGCACTCCTGTGACCTTGCATGGCCTGTCTGCTAAATAAAAGTTTAGCGAGGATAGCCTCGTTTTAAGAAACGTTTTTATTCGGCGAGAGATGGGGACAGTGCCCCTCTCTCTTAAAATATCTTAGAAAGCTGGTGAAATACGAGTTTGGTCACAGGCTTCAAGATGGCTAGCCATCAACGGGGCAAAACTCGCTTCACGAAACGTCTTGCTTAACCACAGAAATGTTGGGCTCCGTTGTGGTCGTAGGTCAAGGACTACCTGTAATAAGCATTAAGGCAGAAGGTTGGGATTTGTGGAGGAAGGAACAACCCCCCTACACACACACACACACACACACACACACACACTATCAACTCATAAAATATTTCTAGGGTCTTTATTTAGAGCTGCCAACAGAAAGGGAGGGGGAAGCAGTGCAGCAGCTTGCAAAACCAAAATTACATTCCATCAATGTTTTCAAAGATAGTAACTAGGTGACCGAAGTTTCTGCTGGGCAAAATTCTAACTGGAGAACATGATGGATGACTCTGAGCTATGGAGGTGTCCCATTGGGGAATATGAATTAGGATACACCCAGGGGATGGAGGGAAAACCAGGGTCAGGGGTGACACTGAATGATGTATCTCAGAGTCGGCTACACCCAGGCAGTGCCGGCATGGTTACTCCTAATAAATCTTCTTTTAAGTTTTGGAAGTTAGGCTCGAGACTCATGATTTAAATGGGGGTAACAGCCGGAATCCTCACACACCCGCAAACACCCACAAATTACTTTCCACCATATTCCAGATATTTGCATTTTTCTCCCCCAGGGATTTATCGAGCTTTGTGCCTGGAAGTCATCAAACACCGCCATGGGTGCGAGCTTCAAGGAGCACAGCAACACCTGGAGGTTAGAAGAAACCCTCCCCCCTCCTAATCTTTTCATTTATACCCGCCTCTCCTCCCCCCTCCCTCAAATCCCGAGAAAGGAGGCGTTGATTAATACAGGTGACCCTCAACTTAAGGACTGCACTTGACCGTCTCAGTGATATGGTTGTTAAATAAGTTTTGCCCCATTTTATGACCTTTCTTGCCCTCCATAGTTAAACCTCCCCTCCTCTTCCTTTCTTTCTCTCTCTTCCTTTGTCTCTTTCTCTTTTTTCCTTCTCCTCTCCTCTCCTCTTCTTCCTCCCTCTCTCTTTCTTCCTTTCTTTCTCCTTTTCCCTCTCTTCCCCTCCCCTCCCTCACTTTCTTCCTTTCTCTTTTTCCCTCCTCTCCTCCCCTTCCTCTTCCCTTTCTTCCTTTGTCCCTTCCTGTTTTCCCTCCCCTCCCTTCCACCTTTTCCCTTCTCTCTCTCTCTCTCTTTCTTCCTTTGTCTCTTTCTCTGTTTTCCCTCTCCTCTCTCACCCCTCCCCCTTCCTTTCCCTCCCCTGCCTATCTCACAGGGTTGTTGTGAAACCATGCTGCTCCATACCAGTCTTAAATCCCTTGGGGGTAGCCAGTGTGGCTTTTCAGGAATAATTCCTTCCATAGCCAACCGATCCTCTTGCCTTCTTGGCGTTCATCAGCTGGTTTTCTTCTAAGGAAGCCAAGGCAACACACTTAGAATTTAACCCTCCCTTCTATCCTCAGCGCAGCAACCTTGCGAGGTTACCGTAAGACAGCTTCAGTCAGTGAGCGACGTGGTGCAAGTCGTGGGGATTCGTACCCAGACCCGGCCCATTTCCCCCGACTCTTGTAACCCGTCCGTACTTGAATGGCGATGGTGGTCATTCTTCACCCCTTCCATCGATTGGAACGGGCATGAGTTGGCAAACCAAGGGTCCAGAGCCACCTAGGCAGGGGTGGGATTCTACCGGTTGTTACGATTCTGCGCAGTTAAGAGAACCGGCAAATCATGCCCCTGGCTGGCCCCTCTCCTCTCCTCCCCGCCCACCTCTCCCGGCCCAGTCAGTCCTTACAGTATTTATTTTTATTTTTTCCTCCCGGCGATCAGCTGTTCTGATGATCAGCTGTGCTGGGATCCCCCTTAGAGCAGGGGTCCCCAACCACCGGTCCCCGGACCGGTACCGGTCCGTGGAACATTTTCTACTGGGCCGCCGGTTTGCTGGGCGCCGCCATCTTGTTTCGATGAGAATGTGCTTCCGGGTGAGCTTTTCCGGTTGGAAAGCGGCATTTGGGTCCTGAAGGAATCCCCGCGCCTTAGTTTCATCGAAGGGGGG